AGTAAAATCTTAAAAGCTTTATAAGACTTAATCGAGGCTAAAAATTTTTTTTGCAGACATAGTTTTCAGGCTTCAGATTATAAAACATATATAAAAGCAGATGGCTGAAACAAAGTAGTAATGCATAAATCCGCATGGTTCATCGAAGAAGTAGATTAAGAATATGGAAATAGTAGCATGCATATGGTAAAAATATCACAAATGATTCATTAATTGAAATATTTGAAAAGGGTTCGTACGTGATTTAACGTGAGCTGAGCGTTTTTCTGCTTCTCTGGCATGCTGGAGCACACTCTCTGTTCCTTATGTTCTTTGCACAATGAAGCTTTAACTTCGAAAATCATAATTAAACCAAAAAATAAAGTTTATATTCGTTTTCCGAATAGAATACTGAGCTAAAACAGCCTATGAACTACTATATTATATGGCTGTTGTGAACAGTGACTCTGCTCTTTTTTTGCTCACTCAGGATTTATCAAAACCCATAATGTAACCAAACCTTTTATGACCTTTGGCTTCTTTCGTACCTTTTGCGTTCTAACTTCTCTCATACTGCATAGGCTAAAATCAAAAAGCACTTGTACTATTTCTGATCAGATCATGAGTAGATTTCTCGTTTCCTTTTCCCGGTTTTTTTTGTGATTTCTTATTCCGTTGTCATCACTCCATATATGAAATCTGACATCGGTCGTCCAGTATAATATCATACCAGTTCTGGTTTCCATAATAATGGTTGCGTGCTTAACTCATTGAAGGCTTATTGCTATGGATTCTGATATCCTCAAGAATGCTTTTGTCTGATCAACGAACCCTTGCTTAGTCTTCATGTTTCATGATCACTATTTGATGCACTCTGAAAATAATATGCTTCCACAACAAACCCGTCTGCAGTACACTTGATAACGTGTAGTACAAACTATGTAAAACTTCAGGTTGTAAATAATTTATCGAGAAGAGAAAGTTAAAAAGGATATTAAAATGACTTGAATTTTCAAAATCCTCATCTCCTTTCAATTCTTGAGAACCGAAACCAAGTTGGAAACAGAAGACTGAGGTGAGTACGTCACTCTCGGAGCAAAGTAAGAAACAAAAAACCTTATTTATCTTTATTGAAAAGAGATAAACACGAAACGAGTCACTCTGGTTCGAGTTCAGGAGATAGCTGAAGTCTTATCCTATATAGAACAAAGTGAAAAGTTAAAAGAAATGTCAAAAGTTCACAACGAACAAATATTTTTCTTGTATTACAGCTCTCTCCTCTTGATTTAACCATAATTCTGTAAGAATAGTGAAACCTTTTGTATTTCAGTGCACTTTCATAATAACTTTATTCATTCAGTTTCCAGATCTGTGTGAAAGTAAAACTAGACGTTTGGAAACTCTCGATTACCCAATACCAGTTTAAAAAAATCGCGTTCAACAAATCTTCTGAGATGATCCTGCGGCTTTTCTTCTTAGAGGATTATAGAACTCGAGTGTTCATTTCTCCTATACCATGTATTAATTATTAGTTTGAAAGGGGCTTAGCTTTCAGATGCAATTTTAGGTTCTAATCATGAATTACATGATTTGAATAAACTGAAGAGCTCGACTTTTTTCCCATGCGTTATTGAATGTGATTTGCTTGTGTTCTTCTGCTTCATTCTATTTTTTTATTGGAATTCTTTTTTTTAAGGGAACAAACTGGTCCAAGGCAGTTAAGGAGTAGCAGTATTACGGGATTAAACAGTAATACAGTTTTGCCTCAGGCAGCTTCTGTGTGGAACTAGTTGAAACTTGTTCAGGCATTAATCTCTTCATCCTTCAAAAAACATATAAAAGAATACATTCTGTTCATGGGGAAAGCTAGTGCTCCATTTTTGAGTTTACAAACATATTTTACTTTCATTGATGACATACTTTTGTACAATCTTCGCTCTCAGCATTTGTCTGATTGGGACACAGTAAGTCTTACTTCATGTATTACTTTTCTTTATGGCTTTTCAGCTCAGCACCGATGTCAGGTTACAGTTCATATGGGATGGGGATGAGTCCTTATTCTGGAATGGGTGAGCATGGAAAAAGTTACCCATTCAGTTTTCCTGTTTAGGCTCCGGTTTAGGAATGAGCTCTCTATATGGAATGGGAGCTGCAGGTTATCCTAGTCTAACTGGTATGAATGGAATGGGAATGATGAATCCAATGGGTTTTGGCGGGATGGGATTAGGTCAGTATTTTGCTTACTTTCAACACTGATTCTGTAACAGGTTCCTATGGCCTTGGTATGACAAATTATGGAAGCATGGGATCATATGGTAATTTAACATTTTGTGAAAACACTCAAATGCTTTTCAGGTGGTGGATTAGGAGGATACCCGATGGGCTATTAGAAAACTCTCTGTATGAACAGTTTCATTGTTCAAACAAATATATTGTATTTATTGGCAGCTTTGTTAACTTTAATTTGTATATTTCACTGAATATGCTTCATAAATGACTTTGTCTTGTACTCCAGCATTGTATTTCATATTAATTAGGCAGATTATTCAAGATGGAAGAGCCAATCTCGGGTTTCATTGACATTCAAGCAGTAAATGGTAAATCTTCATTGAACGCGTCAATTTTATTGAACATTTTCTTTCTTTTCCTACAAGTTAAATATGCAAAGAAATAAATAGTATCATTTACTTCTCATCTGCTATCAGGAGATCAAACATTCAATACTTTTCTAACGAAAGGATAAATGGAAATAAATTATTGGTTAAAGCTCGCTTAAGTAAAGCCCGTATTTAAAACAAACAAAACTAACAGAAGATTGAGAGATTACAGTTATAGCGAAATGAGAATTATCGTTTCCGTCTTTGTCCGCTCAGCTTATTGGTGGTGACTTCACATTAGTTTATGGGACAGTCGAAGCACTCACATTGCAAAGCTGATGGAATCCTTATTTGTTTTGGACCGTCAATACATGTTAACTCTGCATTCACCTGAATAAGAGATAATTGAAATAGCTAAGATGGTACTAGTTACCCATTCTGTATCAGTCATTCTGCAACACTTGGAAACACCAGCAGTTTTACCGCTTCGTGGGCTCGGATAAGTTAAGGAAAAACAATAACCGCTACATCGATTAACACGAACTATCAAAAGCTCACAACCTTCTTCATCTACCAGTTCTTCAGCTCCTAAAAATTTCTAATATCAAAAATCACTTATCAATTGACCTATTGCATTCTCATTATGACTTCTCATTAAAACTGGTCAATAAAAAATCATTTTAAATCACTTGAAGGGGGCATTTAGTTAAGTGCTTTGCGGAGTAAGATAAAACACAACAAATCAATATATACTGAGCAGTATGGATGCTGATATATGGTTCGGACATGCTGATATCACGAATTCTGGATACAAAAACACGGGCATGTGCAACACCCTTTCCGTGAAAGAGTGAAAAAAACGTTTAACGTTATCAAGCTTCGTATAATCCTTAGAAGAAGGAGTACCAACTTTGATTATATTATTAGATGGTTCTAATCGTCTTATCAGTGTGCTAAAGCCTAGTCTTACTTCTAAATTTGGACATGTGACGAGTATAGTTCAACGGGTCATTAGATCTTGTGATTCATTTTTTGAAATGAAATTGAAGAAACAACTAACCAACTCTTTTGCATTGTTGACCAATAGCAGCAGATATTCTTGGTGGCAACAGAAATATGATAAATAGAAGGAAAGGAGATAACTTTAAGAATATTCCAAATTTCGCTGACCATCGCAGAACAGGAGGCATAACTGTAAAATGTGTCCTTTGATGATGTTTTCGCGAAAGAATGCTCAGGAAAGAGAGTGGAAACAGAAGTATTGCGACGAGTAATAAATAGAACAAGGAATCAAATGTATCAAAAGAACAATTTGCAGCTCAATAGATCGAAAAGCGTTGAAAATAACATGTTAAGTATATTTAGGAGTATGATGTTGTAATTAAGCTGCATATAATGTGTATAAAGGAGAAATTCAAACTAAAAACCAAAAACGGAGCTGCTTATATAGAGTCATTGCTCCTATATGGCTTGATCCATGTTAAGAAGGACCACTCTTGTGGCTATGTGAGATCCTCTAAGAAGGTTGAATGACGTAATTCCATATGAGCAGAATAAGAAAAAGAGAAACAAGTGAAAGCAGATTCTACCAAATAAAGGATCCCAAATAGCAAAAATGCATATTGAAATGTTGAAGATGGCATATGGAAATTTCCAAGTATCAAGTTACATTTGATGATTGTAGAGGTTATAAGCCTTTTTTTCGGCTGATCAAAGTTCAAAACATTCAGTGACAGATTAATTAGTCCGACAAAGCAAAAACACAAAGCTTTTCCACGCAAAAGTTATTCCACAATGGAGAGGAGAATGTTTTTCTTGAACAAGAGCACGGATGGGAAGTAGCTTTTCATAACTTGACTCTTCATTAAAATCTCGAAAAAAAAACAAAGGAAAGTGATGATATCAAAACAAAATAACAGAAAGTTGCAGAAGACGAAAGAGAAAAACAAGTTTTTCGTTCATTTTTTCACACGCAGCCAAAAGAGCTGAAGTGATACTCAAACTATTCAAATCGTGAGTCAGTTTCGATCTTCCCCTGGTGCACCAAACGGATGTGTATCTGATAAACTACAGGAAGTTTAGGATTAAATGAATAAGAAACTTTTCGAATGGAAGTTGATGAGAGTCATCCTTATCAAGCCAATTCTAAAAATAGAAAGGCTTCCAACAAAAAAGATAACACTCCGTGAAGTATACGTAAGTAAAAAAGTTGTAACTCAAGAAGAACAGGCCTTTAAAAATATTTTTTCTCAGAAGTTGTTTTCTGTCCGTAGGTATTCACCCCAGAAGAAGTGAAATTAAAGATGTTTAGCCAGTCGTACTTCGTTCAAAGTATACCTTCCTGAGATATTTCAAGTACAAAAAGGAAAAAGCTTGTTTTGCTTGTATTTTTTTATTTCTTTTTTTCATTTTTATGAACTAATTGATGAACTCTGTAATGGGTAGTGGTTTGTGGGATACTTTTCTAGTTTTGCTAAGATTCGGCGAATAAGACGTCATTAAGACTAGTAGTATATTTGGGACAATGCTTAAGAGAAAACTATATAAGTAAGGTTTTGAGTAGAGTGGCTATATCCGTTGAACAATGCTTCGCTATTCTATTCTCTTCGTTTGCCTCATCTCTTTCGCTCTTGCTCAATATGGTGGATATTATGGTGGATATTCCCCATATCAATACGGCGGCTATGGAGGATATGGAGGATATGGAGGAGGCTATCCTATGTATAGATATCCTATGTACAGGTAATTAGGAACAAAAACTTTGAAAACCATCAAATTTTCTTAAAGAGGTGGCTATTATGGTGGCTATCCTGGATATGGTTACGGTGGATACGGTGGATATGGATATAGAGGAGGTTAAGTTAACAACATCTGTTGTCTTACTTCCATCGTGTTGTAGGACTTCTTCGCAGTCTGATGTGGGGGAAGAAGTAAACGAACTTCTTTATTCACTGTAATATTTATTTAAACGATAAATTATTCCTCTCACTTTTTATTTTGCCTAAAACGAACTTTTAGGAAATTAAGAGCAAATATTGAAAAGAGCATCATCAAGAAAAACTAGTTTTCAAGTTTTAACGTCATAATTTGAAATTTAAAAAATGAGTGGGGGGGGGGGGGGAGGGGTTTTCCGAGTTCAAAGTTTCTTGTTGGTCTTTCATATTTACTCTACCAACAAGAAAGCTGGTATATACATGAGAATGCAAGGTGTTTGTGAAAATGAACATCTCGTACTTCTCTCAGCTCATACGAATCGCTCGAAGAATGAACAAGCTATTGCTGGTGCTTACATTCATCTTATTTCTTGGTAAGTCTGAAGTTAGAGCTCTGATAAAGTTTATCTTAATTAAAGATTCCACGTCTGCTCAATGTCCCTGGGGATATTCCTCTCTAAACGGAGAAACTAGATGTGAGAATGCTAATTATTGTAGGGTAAGTCTCATAGTTAGGCAACAAAATAGAAGAAGAATGTTATAGGCGCTAGGAGGTGACACGTATGAATGCTTGAATGGAAGGTGTTGTCGAATAAACGGATGTAAGCGATGCTTCATGAGAACTAAGATGATATCTTCATTATAGTATGTAATTCACAAGAAATAGCTATCGATGGAGATTGTTATGCTATGAGAAGGTTGGGAGAGAGGTGTTCATTTTCAGCTCAATGCCAGCCAATGGGATCTTCTGAATGCTATAATGGAATATGCAGGCAAAGAACAGACGATAACGACGGTTTGTACTCCATCGTCTTCAATTCAAAAACAATATTCTTGAAGAAGTGTGTTTGAATTCAAACAATATAGTAGAATACACGAATGGAGTAATGAAAAATTGTATGTATTCTGAGTGTAGTTATGGCTTTGGCTGTGAATATAGTCAAATACTGCAGCAATATATTTGTTGTGGAAATAATCTGCGAAAACAATATGATTCTTCATTAGGTTAGTATTTTCTCTCCTCTCTCTCTCACAGAATAAAAAAAGTATTTTAGGAGTAGCTCGAATGTACCCACGCACTTCCAAACCTTTGCTATGTTCTTCAACCAATAATTGCCTTTTTGATGATACTCCCAATTGTGTGTTTTCCAGTCGATACTCACATTATGTGTGCTGTTCTACTTTCAACTGTTAATTATTATAAAATTATACAATTCTTTTATTTATTACATTCAACATGATAAACTATCCGAGAAGACTTCCGATCAATCCTGGGCGACCTGAACAGACAATCATCATACGTTGTTTTTACTATTCAGAACTACCGTATGGTCCACCTCCGTATCCACCGTAACCACCGTATGGTCTTCCGTATCCACCATATCCTCCATATCCTCCGTATGGTCTTCCGTATCCATATCCACCACCGCGGCCTGAAAAGAGGTCGTACTCATCGATATCTAAGATAAGAAACAAACCATAGCCTCCATAGCCTGGTCCATAGAATTGACTAGATACAACGGCGACTAAGAGAGCGAAAAGGAAAACACGGAGGAACATTTCTGAACAATATCTTTATAATGAAAGTTACAAAATGATACAAATATTGTTTTGTACATCTTTTCCCGATCATTATATACACTTGAAAAAGACCAGGTCAAACCCGCTTTTCTCCTCCTTCTTCCATCATTGTCATTATTTTGTAAAATATCATCATCTCTTCACAGTGAATTCAATATCTTCTCTTTGTGCCATTGTCTTCTTCTTCTCTTTATTTTTTCCAATTTCTTTTTTATGAAAACGTCATATCATTCATTGTCTCCCTTTTTTCTTAACTTCACCTTTTAATTTACTCTTCTTGTCTATCTCTCCTTTTCTTTCTTTCTCTTGTCCGTCTTACTCTTCCTAATTCTCTCATAGTACACACTATCCTTCCTAATAACTTAATTCATCAATTTACTTTACGAGCTCGTTTCTCTCTTCAACCCTTTTTCACATACATGCTTCAGAGACAAGGAACTGAATGCAGACATTTCCCAAAACCTATTCTTCAATTTATGATTAGAGAATTCCTTTTAAGACAACAGAAAACTTTTTAAATATCTTCATTAAAACTTAATATCAATTAAATGACCTCAAATCAAATGAACGATGGTCTTTACGGTATTGGAACGTGGTGAGAAGCGTAAAATTAGCATATTGGGATAATTCTGGGTAAATTCATTTTGCTCACTAACTTTATGAAAACCGGTTGTTCTTTTCTGTGCGCTTCGTTGTTCTTTAAATATGCTTTCTTTTTACTCATAAAATAGGATTCTTACAGATTTTATTACTAACTGATTTATGTGTATTCACACGAATTTTGTGTGAGAGTCAGAAAAAGGTCAATTGCAGTTAATGAGAAGGCTTGGCGTCTTTACAATATCCAACACAGCTGTAGAACGAAGGGAAGTTGTTATAGTTTCCACTTACTCCATAATAGCTGAATCTATCACAAGCCTGCGTTTGATGGTTCCAAGCAAATCTATAAGAAAAACTTAGGCATACTGAACTTGAATGTGTTTTACCTAGGCCTGTCTTCGATTCCGGTTTGGAAGTGCCCACTGTCATATCGTAAAGAGCATACATATTCTTTAGAAAGCAAAAGTTTTGTTGTCAATCTCTTTAGCTTTACCTTTGGTCGGACAGCAAACTCCATTGACGCAGTTATGATTAACAGAACAAGATGGATTGCATTTCTCGTATTTGCCATTTGGAATTAGAAAAACAGATCCACATTCCGTAGCTTGAAAGGAGAATTTCATTACAAACGCCTTATTCCTCATAAGATTTGGGATCGAAACAGGAAATGAACGAAACCCTACCCTTCCTCCATTGATCATGACTATTTCCATGTGGAACAAATTCTTGAGTTTCATTCCTGCTCGTAGTGCTGCTCATAGTCTTTCCGTCAATACATTTTTCCTTAAAAAAAGGCAAGATTTGTGCTCTTCTCTGAATAATTCTTACTCTACATTCTTCGAGAGAATGGAAGTTGTTTCCATTGCCACCACATCCTCGATATTGAAAAGGTTGGCATTCTTCAACACGGTTTAATATTCATAAGAAAAGAACTTACTGTATTTGGGGTCGTAATAAAATCTTTTTTCTGCCTTCTCAGCACAGTATTCTCCTACATGTTTTGAAGAAAAACAATCGCATATAACTGATGATATGATGAATGAAGATAAAAAAATAGTTTGAAGTAACATTTTCTGAAGGAGCGAAGGAAAAATTGCAAGTCGAATGGCAAGTAAAAACACCTTGGTGAGTGGGTGTCAGAAAGATGATTAAACAGAAATGAAAAATTAGAATGTTTGAAAAAGAACTTTCCGGAAAACAGGCAGCTCTTCAAAGAAACTTGGTGAAAAAGGTTATGGCAAATGCTTTAAGTACTTCAATGTTTATTTGTTTGTTACGTCATTTTGTACAATCACAACAGGCTTTCATGTGGTTTTGCACGTTTTTTCAACGAATTCTCTTTGTTAGTGAAGACCAGAAATAAGTAACAAACCGTCTCACATAAAATCTGTCGAGCTTTATCAACGAATTTCATATAGAACGTAATTTTTTTTGTCAATATGATTTTCTTCCACGTATTTACTCAGAATCTTTTCTGCAAATCGACGATCCAATGCTTTATCTGGGTCACATCGCGTTTCTTATGCCCGCTTGTGGTGAAAAACGATCTGCCGAACGAACCTGTTCGAAATGAGCTTCTCGTCTTCTCTTCATTCTGAGGAATATTTCAATTTTTCCGTTTTTCTTACTATTTACTTAACCGGAACACTAATCTGCCAAGCAAGTTGTGCTTCTGTTTGAAGACAAACAGCTGATTCCAAACAATTTGTTCCCTTATATACTTGGGAGAAGTACCTCATTTGGACGCGTCAGGAGCTTCTTCTCCCTCCCAAATGTCACAAATACTAGCCTTATTTCTTCTGCTATTGCCTCATATCACAGCTGAAACAGTGGAAAATAATTGTTCTGAGCCAAGACAACGAGGGAATTTCTGCGAAAAACCTCAAAGTCAAAAGTTCTATTTCACGTCACAAGGTTCTAACATCAGCTCAATGAAGTTATATCATGTTTTTCCTAGGAGTTTGTCAACCATTTATGTTTAATGGATGTAATGGAAACGGTAACCGATTTGATAGTTTAGCTCAATGTCAAGATTTCTGTTTGAAAGGCTTGGGAGCTCAAGTAAGACTTCACAGCCTTTTTTTCTAGCTTAGAAATTGTTTCAGAAGATGAGAGATAATCGAAATGACACAACTGACAGTTTCAAAATGAAAGGTTGTGTGGTAATTAAATCAAAAGAAAAATTGATAATTTCAGAAGCTTGTTCTGCTGATTATGATACGGGCCATCTAATCCCCACAAGATGCAATAGTAGCCAGCCCTGTACCTTAGGCTATACTTGTAAAGAAAGTTTTTGCTGTCCTTCGGCTGGTAAGAAGTAAGATAAAATCAACAGTTATCACGGATACTTCAGAATACATTTGTAATCTGAATTACGATACAGGAAAGTTTGCTGTTGGAGGAGTGAAGAGTGATAAATACTTTTGGAATCAAGAATTCAATGTTTGCATGAGGTATTCATCTATACATTCTATTATCAACTAGGAATTATACTTTAGGTTTTCTTTTTATGGAACATTGGGCAACGTTAATAATTTTCCTGATTATAACAGTTGTATGCGAGTCTGTGGAAAGTTCCAAAAGCATAACTAAAGCCATGTGATAGCTGTTTGTACATAGCGAACTGTTCACTCAATCGTGTTGTCTGTCGGGTAGAGAAAATGATAACATTTTCTTAACATGATAAACTTTGTTGTTTTCTTATTACAATGAAATGTCGAACTCTTGAATATTTGAGTTCTTCATTCAATTCTAGTTTCAACTGATGTAAACAAAGTTTGAAAAAAAAAAGTTCTTCTTATACTTGGCAAACACAAAATAAGAGCATCTGGAAAGTAGTTTGGCATTTAGTTTGAAAATAAATCAATGTTTGACAAAATACATGAGATTGCTGGTGTGTAGTGAGTGTTTTATCACTTTATTGAATTCTTCCTAATAGATTATAAAAGAAAGGGACGGTCGAGGCTTATACACGTTCTTCAGTTTTTCAGTTTTTTATAAGTTAATCAACCTTCTAAAGATTCTTCCAATACAGTTTTTATAGCTGACTTTCTACTATCATGATACTGATATTTCTAATACTCGTTGTGCCTTTGTATTACTTGCTCAGGTAATTTTTCTGCTTGTACAGGTTATTCGATATCGAGTTTAGATTTATTTGGGAATTGCCGACAGTTGGCAACTTGCATTCGAAAGCCGTTTTCATAACTGGTTGCGATAGTGGCTTTGGTAAAGCTCTCGCTCTGAAATGTGCAAAAAAAGGAATGACTGTGTTTGCAGCATGTTTTTCACAAAAAGTTCTTTTCACTTCACTTTTTTTCGTTAAAGAGATTGTTCAGGGAGAGAATGAACTGACCAAAGATTACAGAGGTTCTAATCTCAAGACGCTTTCTTTAGATGTACGTGATGACCAAAGCGTTGAGGCTGCCAGGACTTTTGTCGGCAATAACCTGCCAGAGAACATAAGTTATAAAAAATGTTTTATTTGTTTAATTGCAAACCCTTAAAGAGTTGTGGGGAGTTGTCAACAACGCTGGTGTGTTCTCTTGCTATGGACCTGATGATTGGCTTAAGATTACTGATTATCAAAGTTCATTCGATGTTAATACTCTAGGAGTGATCCGAGTGACACAGGTAAAGTAGGTTCCATTAATTCCTCGAATCAAAGATCAATCGGTTTCCAACTCGAACTTATTCGAATAAATGGACGAAGGACTCCATATTTAGTACATGTGCCCTTTTAGACCATTCAGTAATGATAGGCAATCACAGATCTCGTTGTGACTTCCGTTAAAGTTCAACTTTAGAACAATGGTCCAATTCTTGGAGCATAAGCTCAAAAGCATCTCAGGCTTTGATCAATTATTTCCGCTTGCATGCAGATGATAGACCTAAACCCTTCTGCAAAAAAAAGGACGAGCTGATCTAGCATTTTTCAGGCTTTCAAAAAACTGATAAAGTTATCTAAAGGCCGGATAATAACCGTTACATCTGTAAATGGACGAATTTCAAGCCCTGCTGCCGGTCCTTATGTCGTAGCCAAGTACGGAGCAGAAGCATATATGGATGCTTTGAGGTATGAGAACTTTCAAAGTAGCACCATGTAGAATATCGTTGAAGACAAGAATTATACAACTGGGAAGTTAAATGTAGCATTCTGGAACCAGGTATCTTTCGAACCCCTTTATTAGACGAGGAGGCCATGACCAGTCGAGTTAATAACGTGTGGCAGTCAATAGATAATGAAACAAAAGAAGAATACGGAGAGAAGTTTAAAAACTATTGTATTTTGTTTTGATTACCACGGATTTCATTTTTTTTTATTTATAGTTATTAAAAAATGGAACGAGACTTATATCTCTATGAGTTCCAGCAATATCGACTTTGTAGTGAATAACTATTACCATGCATTAGTGGCTAAGTACCCTCGTCACAGGTTGGTTGCAATTTTTTTCTAAGTTCATTCCTCCCTTTGAGGTATTATTGTGGATGGGATGCTATCTTGATCTTCATTCCTCTCTCCTTGTTACCATCATGGTTAACTGACTCTGCCATTCGTATAATTGCTAAGCAAGAGGTGACTAACACATCAACAACATCTCAAGCGTAGTTACTTCCAGATACAACCTGCCTGTCAGGAAAAAAAAACTAAAACCAACTGATTTTCTTCGATGAAATTTATGTGACCTCTGTCAGATTGTTAATCAACAAATAAATGCCTCAGTCATTGTAAAGACAAAGAGTTGTTGAGAAGATTGGACTCAATTCGCAAACCGCTTTCGTATTTCAACTGTTTCATTTTGTTTTCCAGAAAGAGAGCAGAAACTGAAAACAACAACAAAGAGATTCAACAAGTTTTCCTACTTGCGTCAAACGCGCAAAACAAAAAGGGCACTTGTACCACAGTTTGTCAGTTTATTTGTTCTTTCATTGTTTTCGAAACATCAAACGTAAGCTAAAGCTATTAGAGCAACAACTAAAAGAACAAATGCACTCTTCTTCCAAAAAAATAAAGTTCAAAGCAGGGTCTTTGAACTATCGAGCGGTGAATTGCTTTAGTGCTCAACTGCGTGTCAAGTTTTCTCGGTATTCTGCACCTCCATAAATGAAATACTAGAAAAACGAGCCAAATTTTTTATTCTCTCGCCATGTTCTCAAAGTATGTCCATAGATCAGCAATAACAATGTTTCACGTGAATCAAAAGTAACTAAAGGCAACAATAACGATAAACATATCCATTAGCCGAGCCGTACACTCCTACAATACGTCAAACCATCTAATTATAATTCTTTACGGAAGAAACACAACCCGAAAATCTTAGTGGAATCATACGATACGACCAGTGGATGCTCCATGATTAAAAAGGGTTAATAAGCTATGATTCACCAAAACATTCCTACAAGACTGTTACTCATTCCAACACTATGAATGAGTAAATGAAATTCAAAAATTGAAACTACAGAAAACTAACTAATCTAACTGAGACTACATTCTTCCGCACGCAAAAAGGCTAGAAATGTTTTTTCGAACGAAAGATCACTTCAAAAAGACCGAAAATCTTGGATTAAGAAATAACGATCCTACGAACCAGTCGTTTGGTGATCACTAATAACGATAGAACAAGATATGTGATCGTTAAAATGGTAAAACGCCTACTGATATACAGATAATTTCGTAGAGTATTCGTGAAAAAACCAAAAAATAACCAAAAAGGCCAAATTGGGTTCCCCTACTTCAAACTATATAAGTATCTAACAAATGATCAACCATAGAGAAACTTATGAGGAGTTCAACGCTTGACAACTAAGCTTGTTAACAGTTATGTAGGATTTGTCCAAATGTCTTCTAATCCTTTTAATAAATTTCCTAGGACGACATCCTCCGAATCTAACTTATCCGTATCCTCCCAGAGAGGTGCACCACGAGGAGTAGGTGTACCAGATCCAAATAACTAAAATGAAGAAATGAATGCTGATCTAGCAATAATGTGCTACCTTTGATTGATCAATTCCAGAGAAAGAGAGATCTTGAATGAATTGATCAGCATTGAATGACGGCAAAATTTGGTTGTTCGTCTCCAACGTTAGGGAACTAGGACGAGGCAAACGGAAACTGCGGAAACAAGAGTCGTTACCAAAGAAGTCCTGAATGGCTCAGATAATTCGGTTCTAGTGAAAATAAAATACCTGAGCCGAAAAATCCTCACTGACAGATGAACTTGCACTACTGTCATCAATTATGCAATTTTTGGGCATTTGCCCTTTCGCCAATGCAGCTCCATAGCTTGTTGTGGCTGTGTTATTGGAAGTTGATCCTGGATGAACTCTAGGCCCTTGCGGTGGTACTCGTTTTTTCCATCCATCCACAGAAGCCATTTCGTAAAAATATCCATCCGATGAAGGATCGTAGTATCTGTAAAAGAACATGTTGTTGAGAATCATTAACAACAAAAAGTACTTGAGTGGTCCGGGATTCATAGCAGCGGCCTGCAGGAAGGCTCGAGTAGCGGCAGCTTGGAGTTGATTTTGACTAGCAGCCTTAGTTTTAAGAAGCTTTGACTCAACGTCCTGGAAACAGAAAATAATGAACTTTTCTTGGACCCTTCTCTCGAATAATTTCTACGATAACTCTTTCTTCGAAATTTAGAACTAAAAAGAGCAGAACAGCAAGGGCAGTTGCCCTTCAGAATTCTACAACCTTCAGCAAAGTGCACATGATGAAGTATATATGCACTTTGCTTTATTATGTGAAAAGATATCCAAAGACACCATTTTAATAAATAATTCTTGAAACAGATAACGATGGTTTCGAGGAAAAAAATCAATTCACTCCTTCGAAAAACGGGAAAAAACAAAAGATTACCTGATCTTTTGGCTTTGGTGCACCAACAGAGTTTGTTTGTCGTCTTCGCCATCCTCTCGCACTACCCTGTTCGTAGTAGTACCCATCGGAAGCGATGTCATACACAATATAATCATCTTTAGAACCGTACGTATCCGACAACAATGCTTGCTTTTTCAATTCGTCAGTTCCGTCTTCTGAAGTTGCTAAAGAAACAAATTGAATATGAAATATGGGGAAACACAAACCGCTGCCATCACTCCCAGTTTCGGATGACTTCTTATTAGGCTTCTTCAGCCCTCTTTTCTTCTTTTTCAAGTTATCAGCTGATTTGCTGACAATTTTTTCATTCTTGACTTGAGCTCCTAAAGACATTTTTAGTTAAAAAACAGATGATGGCGCAGGTGAATCTTCATATATTTCCACAAACTCACCTTTTTTTTCAAATATATCATTATCGAGGAACCAACCCAATGTTTTGCTTCCACGAGGTGCGGATGAGGGAACAGCTTTAGCAGCAACTGATTGCTTGCTTAAACAAAACCCGATAAAAAACAATTCAAATCCCGTAAACCTCGATTGTTGATATCTCATTGCCTTTTCGACGTCGACAACAGCTTGCGCCGCGTCTTCAGCCGTTACACTTCGGTGCTTTTCACGAGCCGTCTTGACACAGAAACTAGGAGACGTAGCTCCCACAACCAACAAGAAAATAGAACTTCTATAAAAAAAAACAATGACTGAGGTTATATATACAGTTGACATTTCATAAAGAAAACAATTATGATATGAAGAATGAAAGCACTAGACAAAAAACATTGATATGAAAATGAGAGAGAAGCACTTGACGCAGCAGTATCAATTTCGATAAAGACCTCAAAAAATTAACGCTCATTGCTATCATCCTTTCGTTATTTTCACAAAATCATATGATGTTTTCCAACATATGAGGTCACATCTGCTTTAGTATTAGATAAGTGAAAAATCAATTCATTAATTGGAGCAGAAAAGCCAAGTAACATATTGAACACCCCACCAAACTCATTAAAAAATGAATGTGAATGGAAAAACACTAACTGTGAAGAAACTTGGTCAAGAGAATGCGGATAAGCGTTAGTCACGCGCTTGCACCATCAGGAATTTAGCAGCGGGAAAAGAATCGGCGGGAATTCATAAGATCGAAATGGGACAATCTCAACAATAACAAGCAAGTATAGAGAAAAAGGATGGAGAAAGGGGAAAAGCAGCAGGTTTGCTTGCATTGCACAAATGAAAATGGATCGAAAATGTAATTGTCACATGAGTTCTTGCCAATTGATAACACATGGTTCATCAGCTGACCATTTAATGTCACCAAAGTTACATAAAGTTCATTCGAAAGTTATAGAGAGTAAGTACCAGGAACACCTGAGCAAAATTCTCGCAAGATTAACTGAATAGAACGGAAAATGAGAGAAGGTTTCTGTTACCTGTTTTCAAATATAGACAAATATAAATTCAAAAACTCTTGGATACTGTGAAGCAAGAAGAAAAAAAAGTTCAACAAACAATGAGAGAAAAGGTTTATCGCCTCAAGGAACAGCTTCAACCCTTTATAGTAAACTTATAGCCACGCCCCGTATGTGCTCAATGTCGAGTCTAAGGGCACGTGTCCTGGCTCAGCTGACTGCTCCGCCCAACATTTCATGGCAACCACATGAAAACAACTATGGAATGAATAGGAAAGGACAGAAAGTAAAAGCAGAAGAACTTGAACCAAGTACAAGCGAGTTCATGTTTCAAAAACCATGGACTAAAAACATGAGCTTAGATCAGCCTTCTCCAAAGATTCAACATGTGATGGGAAATTGAATCAACATCGTAAACAGAAACAACAGCAAAACATTTTGATCTTCGGGTGATCAGAATATGTGAAACGAAAAACAGTTGAAAGTTATGAAGACACTATGCGTAAACAAGAAGTATTGGTAGTGAAAAGCTCATATATACGACACTTATTAAACACAATCAATAACGTCTCATCTTCTACATTTTATTACCAAACATTACGCGAACATAACTAGATTGATGAAGGACTGCCTTAATTAACTATGTCGAGCTGTCCATCAAATAGGATGAGATAAAGACGAACTCTAGCAGATTAAAACTTGGAATTATTACTGATTGAAACGTATATAAATATGAAAGCATTATAGAAAACTTAATCAGCTGAAAAGCACACACTCCAAACTAATTGATCTATGGTTGCACCAATTAAGCTTTCTTGAGTTCTAGCTCGAAATGTAAAACCACCTCACAAAAACCATCTAGTTTAAAAGTGAATGTCCTGGAAGAGCACAAACAAAGGACATTGAAAAAATATAACATGTGTTAAGTTCAAATTATAAATAATGAAGTTTGATCAGAGAATTCATACCAACAATAAATCAGAAATATAGATTCGTAGCTATAAATAAGTTTGATAAAAACAGCTAAACTTGTCGTCATTTCAAAGCCCAGCATGTAAATAATTCAGAAATCTCTATTTGATCAAGAACCAAATAGTGAGGTTTTTGTTTTCATAAACAAAACGGTATTAGGCTGCGATATGCACGCAGCACGCTTCTTGTTGACAAGAACAGAAAAACCTGAGCGCACAAAGGGAAAACACTAGCTCTTATAAGTCATGCATGCCGTTGCTAGTAACCAAGTTTGAAAAGACATTAAAACCAAATTAGTCGTTCTCCACGTTCTTCAAAAGCTTACTCACAAAGAAAACATGACTAAGAAGAACTGTGGAACGACAAAATCGTAGAAGTTAAGAGAAGCAATAGCAATTCGTTTGTCAGGAACCACCAATGATGTTCCCGCAAGGTTGACTTTACACTACTATCCATACAGAGGTTGTAGGACAACTGCACATTCCAGTTCAGTCTTATAAACATTAATTTGATGAAAATGAAGGAAGAAAGTAGAGAGAATAATTAGAAAGCAACAACATAATAACAAAAAACCGGAGCGCACTGCGAACCAAAGAAAACAAAAGCGAAGTGAGACTACCATCTGAATACAATCGAGAACCTGACATCAAGATCATTTCAGAAGTAGTTTACCAAAAAAGTAATGAAAGTAGTGTTCTTTCTCATAATCGAAGAAATGCGCTATCAAAAAAAACAAGCATAGATAATGAGGAAAGGGAGTTATATGACTACTAAGATAAACTCGAACGGTTTGGTACTAATAAACTAAAGAATGAAGATTTTTCAACAGGTTGGTGCTATACCGAAAACATTAGGAAATTCTCTGTTATTTGTTCAATAATCAACAAGCAGATTGGTATGTCTAAATAAATAAAGTGATAAAATTATCAAGTGCTAAAAACCACAGCGAACTCGCAAACAATATGAACATTGTTCTGTTCATATTTTGCGTGAGACAAATGTCAGTGACCTCTGCTATTAGGAAAAAAATGATGACAGGTACGGGAAAATGCCCGGTAGAGCTAGGGCGAAACTTTTCGAAAAATGGAACTCAAACAATGAGTCATTTCCTTTTCAGTTCAATACAATAGCTAACAAAATAATAGTCTATCTTTTCATGGCGCAAACCTTTCCCATCCATGATTGAAAACTGGGCGTTTCTGTCATGATGGAAAATCGAAAGCGAATTCGATGGAATCTAATTAATCCCAACTTACTGTTCGCGTTCGAAACGTTCATGACAGAGAATAACGTTGAATAAGGAATATTCCGCCTGCGTGAGTCACAAGTTAAACACAGCATGTTGATGTGATGAAATAGCGAGGTGGCGATAAGGCACTAGGATATTTCGCAATAATGATTAGTGTATGTCACAAGGTTGTAATTTCGAAAATTTCATAAGCATCAAAGTAGAATTAAAAAAATTGTACTCGGAGGTCAGCTGGTATTAATTGACATTCTGGACCCACGCCGCACATTTCACGATCTAGAACTGGCAGGCGCGTGGGTGCATGCGCGCCGAAGGATTCGCTCCCAAGGTCAGCGTATTTCTACGCCTTAGCATCGTTCAAAAAGATACAGAAACTAAGACTCGATTTAAACAGAGAAAATAACATTTAGAAATCGATTATTGGCGGAAAATCAAACAATTTTGAAAATATTTAGACGGAAGAAAATCAACAATATTTTTTTCGGCTTAAAAATAAAAATATTTGGATGTGGCATAGCAAACAAAATTGATGCAAGAACAAAACATCACTGACCCAATTCATGAAAGATGGCTAAAGATAACTCATGCACAATACAGGTGACAATTAACCTTGAAGATATATTGAAGAATAGTGAGGCGAACTCCAAAAATATTCTTCACAAGTCTCTTAGGAGGAAGTTATATTATGGCTTCAAGGTTTATATAGAATTTCAGCCTGACACTGAACGGAGGAAACTGTCCTTCATGTCATGTGAGAGAATCGATAACACAATGAAACAGCACTAAACATTAATTTCAGTTTGTTTAGGCCTAATGACTCTAGTCACTGTAGGATAGCATGCAAAAGGATTGGATGGTATCGAGAAGTGATATCACTGTCAGAGAAGTCAGCAAACAATTTTAGAAAAACTCAGCATATAAACATCTGTCATTTACGAACCTACAAGCAGATGTTCAGTGTTTAAGGTCAGTGTATACTGATAAAGCCAGAGCAGATGACAATAAACAAATGCCCCCAGAAGAGTTGAACAGATTTTGCTTTCAGACAACAGAAACAAAAAAAAAGAACCAAAAATTTAGATATGACGAATGACTATGACAAATAAATGATAAAACTGGCGTACCTCGTCGCTTTACGGCTATCGATTCGTTGGTAGTTGAATACTATGTTTGTCAGGAATTGCGAAACTGAAAATGTTGGAGCTGAGAAAATGGTCAAGACAATCAAGCATACTACAAAACTGATGACTTTCAAGTCTACCTCAGCTTGTTAGAAAGACAAATGACGCTTTCTCAATTAAATTTGGGCGCCAATCAATAATTCAAAAAAATTTAATTCGAACGGAACGCTTTCAGTCACCTATATGCTTAACTGAAAAATATAATGCTGCGAAGGCAGTTCTAGATATACGGAACGAGAAGATGAAAAGACAACCATTCTGTCTTGTGAATGTTAGTGAAAATAAAATGAGCGTAGATCCACGTCATTCACGTTCACCACGTAATACGTCAATTTATGCCAACTACGTGGGGCGAACCGATATTGAAACATGCAAACAAAAATATGAGCCAATCGCAAGGTATTAGTTATCACAAAAAAATGTGCTAAAACTATACATGCCGACAGGAATGGAGCTCTTGCTTAAGTTGCTATGGATATTTAAAATGCTGAATTCTGTTGAGATCAGTTGAATAATTAATTTAATACGTCACACGCCTGAGTATAATGAGTAGAAATAAACATATAATAAGAAAACAGGGTACAACAAGAGGAACTTCTTGCTTTGAAGTTCATCCTCGCACAGAAGAGTTCCAGAACTGTAAACGCTCCATATTACTCCTAGCATTCCCAATATAGAAGATATATAATGGAATCTTAATTTGAATATGAAGCCACCTAAATATTTGCTCAAACCTTGATAACAATGAAGAGAAAAATCCTGTACAAACTAAAGGAATCAAACAATATCCAATTACGCCTAAAACCTTAAAGAGCGCGACAGTAAAATCAAAGGCTTCGTTAAAGGGAAGTTCCATAAAAACTACGACACACCTGTGAATAGCCTACATCTCCTCCTAGTGCTCGCGCTATAAAATATACCATGAACCCGCCACAAAACCACATAGTTAGTATCCAAGAAAGTACCTAGAGACTTGGAATATCGTGAAAGTCAAAAAGATACTTACAGAAATTTGACCATATATGGATAACATAGAGAAGGCTAGTACAACCCCCAGGGGACCCCAAAAATCTGGAGATTCGCGAACGATATTCAACTTCATTCTGAAGTAGGGGAGAGGGAGAAGCACACACCGTATCTTGTAATAAATATCGGTTAAGTCAATGTCGAGTTCCTCACTGAAAAAGATAATTGAAAACAGTTCCAATGACTCGTACAGTACAGTAAGGAAGTGTGAGAGTCTAGGTCTTCTTTGGCCTCTAGGAGCCAACCAAATCCTTTATTTTCCTATAAAAAATTGTTATTGAACGAACCCTTCTTCAATTTACCAAATAGTGTCCAGCTTTGCCGAAATTGGATGCATTCACAGTTAACATGCCAGAATCATTAATTTCTAGAAATAAAAAAAGCGTAGAAATAAATTACCTTAAAAATTGCAACATACGATTTTGATCGTTGTTCATATCATAATTACCAGAGTTATAGAAACCAAAATTATCAACACCTCCAATGGAGTGCATATCTATGCTCACGCCATCAGGCTCATGTTGCTGATCGTTAAAAGATGCCATTCTATAAATAATTACTTCTCTAAGATCTATGAGTTCTCAAAACTGAGATTGGCTACTCGCAAAAGCGTTGTGAAAACCGTGCGCGGAATGAGTATACGCCCCCCCACGTTGTATAAAACTGCGCGCTCATTGCAAAGTTATCATTAGAATCTCTTTTACACAGTCTCTTATTTGTTGTATATCTACTCATCTCTCATTAATTAATCTCAGGTAAAATGCTACAAAAATGGATTATACTAGCTGTTATTTCGACATGTTGTGCTATCAGGTTCAGCATCAATGCTAATCAAAAGAAATGCTTGAAAGAAGAAATTCATAAGAACATCATAGTTACTGGAGAATACGAGTTCAGTGAAGGAGTAGGGTATTCTGGAAGCGTTATTGTAATTAAAAGTTAGGTTCACTCTAATATCAGATTGTGCTTTTAGGTGTCTGATACACGTGGCCATATTCTTTATAAGCGTGAGAATTTCCAAGACTTGAAAGGAAAGTTTGCATTCACTGCTGACGAGTATGACATCTTCGAGATTTGTGTGTTGAACCATGGTCCAAGTCGTAAGGGTACTATGAGAAATATTTAAATAAAGAATATATTTAAGCTCAAGGAGGATCTGCCCGTGAAGTCAACCTATCGATGAAGCATGGTGTTGAAGCTAAAAACTATGAAGATTTAGCTAAAGCAGAGAAGCTTAAACCCTTGGAGGTTTGGCATTTCAATTTATGGGTTTATGGTTTTTTCCAGGTCGAGTTACGACGACTCGAAGATTTATCAGACTCCATAGTCAAAGACTTCGCCTTCATGAGACAACGTGAAGAGGAGATGAGAAATACAAATGGTTTCGTTGATAGTCCTTTCAGTATAGCGTAATTTTTCTTTCAGAGTCCACTAATAGCCGTGTTTTATATTTATCAGTGTTCTCCATGCTTTGTCTATTAGGGCTTGCCGCTTGGCAAGTTCTGTTCCTTCGCAACTACTTCAAAGCCAAAAAGCTTATTGACTGAATATCATACCATCTTAGGTGCACAACAAGCGAATACGAATCATACATGGGCATGAAATATCTATTCTCTTCTCGAATGATTAATTTCTGGGTGTTATTTATTGGTTATTAAACTTTATTTCTTTACAGTTGTTCTAGTAAGCTTTGTTTTATCAATATTCATACATTTTTATGTAATTAATATGTACCATTAAACTTTTTCTGTGAGTTAAGCCAGTTATGGAAAGAAACCCATTGGATTGCATCAGTTGTAAAGAGGTTTTAGGACAAGTTACAAATATTACAACGTTTTATCAATTAAGGATCTGTCATCTCCCATATTTCTGCGATGCTTACATACTGTTTGTAATCCTTGTGAGGCAAATCATTCCTCCACTTGTTGCATATTGCAAGGCAGTTCCAGAGAAGAAGGTAGTCCCTATCTTTCGAACATTGAGTGATAATTCTAACAGATGATGTATTATGCTCGGAGGATAAGTTGGCCGTTTTCCTGTTGAAGTCCTCACAAGAGCGGACAGACAATTGTGCCAATTGTGAGAGAGTTAGTGTTCATATCGTTGACTAGAAAATGAGCTGAATTCTAGATGGTGCATCCGATGTTCTATTGTGAAACCTGCCAACAGTACTTATGCTCTCCATGTAAATTATCAACTCACAATGTGAGTTCTAATAAATCTGATCAATACAAACTAAACCCTTCCGTAGGCCAAAATGTTCCAAAGACATATTATAATGAAATCAGAGGAGAGAAGTTTCGTTCAATCGAATTCCTTTTGTGAGAAACACAATGAGCCATTCGTTTTGTATAATGAAGAAGAACACAGTTTAGCCTGTATCAAATGTTTCAATGATGTCCAACCTGAGCAGAAGTAATGATTTTTTTCTTGACTTATCTATTTTTTTTTTCAGAGTTTTTTTCGTATCTTTAGATCAAGCTTATAAAAATATATTGAGTATAATTGAAGTTCAATCTGTCTCTCTGAAGAGCCATCAAGTGAGAAAGTTCAGAATATGTTTTCTAACAACTCTTTCAGGACTTCCTACTACAGGAGCTCGATACTAGAAGGAAAGCATTAACTGAAGCATCCAGGACATATTCTCAAGAAAAGGAATCGTAAGTACAATTATAGGTTAATCATAGTTCTGACTTACTTCAGACTTGATATCTTATGCGATAGTATCATCGACGCTGTTAATGATACTCGTTCAATTTTATCGGAGCGCTTGGAAAGGGAGAAGGCAGAAGCTGAGTCAAGTTGTGAGATTCAAATCGAGAACATTCAATCTTATATCGTAAGTATAGTATAGTCTTTATTCATATAGTCAGTTTAGTTTCCAACAAAACTCTGCCTGATGGCTACTCGGCTTTTATTCTCTTCTGCTTCTCAGATCGATTCTCTACAGTTGTTGCCTCTGTTAATCAAACGAACCCAGGTTTCAGATAGTTCTTGATTATAATTCATCATTGCTTTACCAGATGATATGTTCCCAAAACATAAAGAGAGTACCCCCACCAAAAACTTGTCAAAGTCTGCAGTTCCGCACAGAATTAGCAAAAGTATTGGAGCCTCATATAGGTTCACTGTTCATGATACTTCTCTTGATAATAAGCTTCATAGGGTTATCAGCTGCATGGTGTCCTATATCCGCAGTTAGAGAAGGAACGAAGGAGAGTAATGGTAGCTCAGGATCTTGTATCACAGTTTCCGGTTCTCAAAATATCAGTAAACCAAACGTTCTTCCCAAGTTCCAAGCTATGATTGATCTTTCTGGTGCTTTCGGACAACTTTTCAATAGAGTGGAAGGTACGTGAAGTTTTTGTTTTCACAGAGTAAGGAATAGTATTCAGGACCTCTGAAGGATGTTGCAATCGAATTGTCAAAACTGAGTATTCGTGCGCAAGAAATGCAGCGAGATATCACGAAAAGGAGATGTTTGCTGAAACCCGAACTCATCAATATTCTGATAAAAGAGTAGCATTTTCGCAGCTTTTCAATTATATAATAACTGACTTGAAGATGTCAAAACCTTGAAACCACACTAGGTCTTCATTCACAATTGATAGAAGAGCTACAACCAGAAATGCAAGAGCTTTGGCAAGAACAATTAGATCGCGTTCGACGACAACAAATTATTTTTCGTGAGAAGGTTTTAAAAACTAGATATCATGCTTTCACAGGTTTACATTTTCTTAGGTGAACGATTGTATGAGCCTTCGTTGTATTGTCCGTGATGTTTTAAATGCAGCAAAGCAACTCCGTCCTTTCGCTGTTTGTATAGAGCAAATGAGCTCTTTAATTGATCCACGGTACTCCAATTCATTACGTTAATTATCATGTTGTAAAAAAACAGGCGATGTCATCCACCAGATCCAGCGCCTATGGAGAGCATATGCCTACAAATTTCAACTATAGAGCCGAATAGTGAATGTAGGATTGCGGCAATCGAAAAGGTGTAGAATCTCTTTTTCAATTTTTACGCTTTCCATTGACAGGAAGAGCAAAATAGGAGAACAGTTTTGGAAGCAAAAAAAAAAGCTGAAGCTGCTGACAGGGAGCTGGTGAGGAAAGGATTGAAGCATGGGAAACACAGGAAGAAGGACCAATTCCGTGTAATGGTAAATACAAATAGGGAGAGAAGTCCAGGTGGTACAGATTCAACTTTGTTTTCTCCGTTTATGCGAAAGTTTATTTTCATCGTTTTCAATTTTTAATAATATGGCTTCCAGATTGAATTGTTCGTACCGAGATGTTTCGGACGAAACAAGTGTTTTCGCTGATCAGGTATTCAACTTTTACTCTAAAGATGACACATCTGGCATTGACTTGGCTATCTGTGATCAGGTTAGTTAGCGGTCATGAATGTTAATTATTATTTCAGGCACGTTGCTCTTCGTCCCTATCGCTAACCCTTCCATCTTGCGATAGTTCTCCGAACCAACAGTCAGACCATGGATTTAAAGCGGAGCACTGTTATGCTCACGATGACAGAGGTAAAAAAAATAGATGAAAGATATAACAAACGTTGAAGACTGTCATTCTTATATGCTCCAATCTCTGCATGATGTATTCGCTCTTCAAAAAAGTGATTCTGATCCGAATGATAAGAATGTTCTGGCCAGTGTTGTCAAAATATCACAAAAAAAAAAGAAAACACTTTCGCACAGAAGCTCAGATGCTGAAGAAAGTTTCACAGAAGTCTTGGGTAGAACCCAGAGGTATCTAAGCGTCATAAATATATCGTTCATTTTCTAATTCAGTAGTGGTTCTTCTGCGAAGGATGTGAAACGTAGCAAAAAAGGAAGATCATCAGCGGAAGCAATTAATGAACCTACAGCTGAACTAACAGAACTAGACCTTGATAGATGCGACATTCCCAAAGTACCCCATTATATGACGAGTTCTGCATTGAAAGTAGAGGACAAAATCTTAGAAGGGTTTGAAGCTAAGGAGAAAATTCTAAAATCTCTGAAAGAGAAAGCTGAAACTAAAAATAATTCAGGTCAATAGGATTTAATAGCTTCAAAAAGCTTTATTTTTATTCATCTAGTCAGTCTCATTTGAAAATGAGTTTAAACATTATTGTTTATAATAAAATTGAGAAACATGTGACTGTTATCTTAAATAGAACTTAGTTCATACCCTCTCCGAAAGAAAAACAGCGTCAAAGATATTTCGCTCATTCCGATCTCAGCAACATCTGTTATGTATTGACTCAATCGATGATGTGCTCTACTTTAAACTCTTAAATCCATTTTAAACAGTTCCCACATACAGCACGGTTGCATTCTTATTGACCAGCTCGTATTCATGAATTCTGAGGCTCATTTACTTTTTTTTTTTAAGGGCAAGAGTTATGAACTTTTAAAATCATTTTTTTCCTCGAAAGCCAACTGGGATATAACAAAAGTCATCTGACAACTGCTTGCTTAGCAAGAACATTCCGTCTTTGACATTTCAGCATCTACTTCAAACTCTAAAGCCAGTCAGGCCGCTTTATTTCGCTCATCATTTCTTCATTTGCTGTCTCAATTTTCTGTAAATGGTGTTTAAATGAAATATATCGTGGTTTTTCTAGCTTGTCGTAGCTACTCTTCGCAATGGAGCTTCCACGTGAATCAACAGACTCTCAATACAACGAGGTATTTTTAAAAAAATGATTTTCAAATGAAATTGAGGGAATAGTATCGAATCGATCATTAATAGAGATTGGAATTGCTTAAATACTCATCTGAGCTAATATTTGAGATTGCTGTCAGATTGAGAGCAGTGTTCAGAATTATTAATCATTCTATAAAATGTTTTTTTAAATATCGAATGAATTTTCATCAAATATTCTTAAAACTGAAACATTACTTTAGACAAGTGTAGAAATGGAGAACGTTGCAGGGGAAGAGCATGATGACGTCATAGATTCCGCTGTCACTGCATCCGAGGAGTACAAGGTGAACATTTTTAACTGAGAAAAGTACTACGACATCATTCAGGACCTTCTCAGTTTTGCAGTCAAACAAGTTTCTCAAGAAATTGTTCCTGATCTAGAGCACACCGTAAACAGTTGCGGTTGTTTGAGTCATTTTGTTTTTGTTCCAGAATCTGAAAGAGCATTCAACACCTCCGTCAACGCCCATTGAAGTTAGTGAGAGTCACACTCCAGTGAATGAAAGTTCAAAGAATGAAGAAGAAGTCATAACACATGTAGAAGAATCAACAGATAATGTGCATTTTATTATTCTTCATATATTATACAAATCACGTTTTGTAGGTTGTAAATAATTCGGAAGCCGTTATCGACTCACCAAACCCTGAAGCAAAACCTGAACCAAACGTTGAGTGTAATATAGCTCTTTGCGAAGGTGTTGGAGTTGAAGGTTCAAACGTTTCAGATCATATTCAGTACGAAGCAGAGGTGTGATTGATGAGATACACAACTAAATTGAAAATTTTTAAGAATAATCTTGAATTGTTGGATTTAAATACTAATATCGAGGCATCAATTAATAATGAAGAGAGTCAAAATGCGGCTGATGCTGATGTAAACTCAAATGACTCTACTGATGAATATGCAAAAGTCTGTATTATTCAACATTTTTTACTACGTTGTATCTTAGAAGGTTTTGCATGACTTCAGCAACTCCCAAGAAGACACTGTAATAGAATCAAGTGCTTTCCAGCAATTATTAGAAGAATCTCAGAGTGCAGTCTCAAATCGTAAGAACATTGCTTAACGTTTGTATCAACTTATGACTCTTATTCTCAGTTGATCTGGTAGAGAAACAATCTAATGTTGCGAACGCGGAGACTGATCTTATGATTGCGAATCCTTCATCTGAAATACATGAAGATTGTATTGAGCCAGACATACATGAGGTGGTTATACAAACATAATGAAGGGAGAAAGAATAAACACTCATTTTAGGAAGAAAAAAGTGAAAATGATCAGGAGATCTCTCAGAAAAACGAAATAATTGTCGAAGAAAGATCCGTGCCAGATTTTGAAGAAGAACCGATCCAAATCAGTCAAGATGTAGAAATCACTGCTAAAGACAGTACAGAGAAGACAGATGAGAACGCCACAGTTTGGCCTGAAACCGCATGCGAAAAAATTGAGGAACCGGAAGTTAAAAAATGAAAAAAATATCAGAATAAAAGGTTTGTTGTAGAAAATCCAAACAGCCGAAAAAGAAGAGTCTCCGGCGAACTTTTCTGTACAGGCAGAAGAACTAAAACCTGAGGTATAAAGCCAGTACTATTTAATTACTCTTAATTTTTTGATAGGATACACTGGGTAGTGTTCTTACTACTATGTCGGAAGCCAAGAAAGCTTTTTTGGAGGGAGCTGAGCAGCAGTTTAAAGGATTTGTTGGGGAGCCAAAGTCAGATCAGATCTATGAAGAGAAAAAGGCAGTGGTCCCAACTGTTGAATTGGGAGCAGGTTTTGTAGATGAAACTGATGTATTACAAAGCTCTAAGGTTTCATTGACGAAGTTCTGGAAAAACTTCAAAAATTTAAAAATTTTAGGTTGAGAATCCCAACGATATCAAGGTTAATGAGGAAACTGGCTCGGAAAGCAAAGTTTGCCTTTTTTTTTTTGAAAAAACCTCAATTGAAGTTTCAGGGAGAGAAGTTGGAGCAACCAAAGAATGAAAGCAGTAGCAAACGACGATGCGCAATTCTTTAAAAGAAATTAGTTTTTCATATTTATTATCTAATAGAAAGTTCATTATATCTCACAAGTTTCTAGTGTTTCTTCAATAAATCGATTTCTGTGAATTATAACGAGACTTTTGACTTCATCAAAGAAGCTGATGCTATGATTAGTCTTGCGGAGCTGCGTTTGTCCGCGCCTACTCTTGAGACATATTTCAAAAAACCGAGCAACAAAAATCGCAGCCTGGATAGCGAGTTCTTATTCGAGTACAATTTCTCTTCTGTTATTGTCTTACTGGACAAGCTCTTCCCAACCATTCGGCAAATGATCAGACGTAAATGAGAAGAGATTTTTCGTCTTTTATGTAGGAAGGAACACGAACAGAGAAGCCGTTGATCATAAGAATCACAAGTTTCGGGTCGTTTGTGACAGAATAAACGACGGATTGTCAGATTTGAATATTAGAACCGAAGAATGCGAGATGGTCAGAGAAGACTCAACGATTTGTACACATATGTACCATGATTATACCAATTAAAATATTTATGTCAATGCATTGTTTTCAAAAAGATTTAATTTGAGTTCAAATAAAAGCTATTGCTTGTGTTTGATAGGTCAAGAAACCTATGTTCAGGCTGGTGCAGATGCAGTTGATAGCATTGGGCAAAAAGGTGCGCCAGCGTCAACACTTTATATACTACTTGTATGAGAACAACAGAAATGGCGAGGAATAAATTTGTTCATGGGAGCACGCGAGAAAACATTTATGGATATATAGTGTTGTTGTTGTTGTTAGAAGAACCAGACAAAAGAGAAATTATCAGGCGGAGATATTCTCCGGAACATGTTTGCTGTATATCATATTCAAGAGCTCTGTGATACTTCCTCTTGTACTCTTCGCATATATCGAACAAGTCCATCTAGAAATAGTTCAGAGAAGAATATTTAGAGTTTGACCAATTATCAACCTCGCTTCGACTCACGCAAATCCGTATGATAGTCGAATGATCTGGCCGTTCTCCACTCATGGCAGCCCTGAGTTTTTCCGCAAAGTACAACTGCATGTTCCTTGATGCTCTGACTACAAATAAAATGAACTTGAACATGGGACGAGGAAGCTGAAAACTACCACAAGTCAACATTATCATTTTTATTTCCGAATGCACTGTTTTGTTACGTCGAATCACGGTCTCAAGGTCTTTATCTTCTTTTTTCCGTTCGTCCACCTGTACAACAAAACAAAATTATATCCTGAGCACTTTGAAGAGGAAACTTTATCAAAAACGGCAGCCATGTGTTTCCAAGAATTACCAATGAATAGACTTTCGAAAAAGCTTATATTTTTCGCTATTTCTTCAATAGAGTTCTGCAACATGTGATATAACATTCATCCGAGAGAAGCGCACGAACTTTCATGAAGATTTCTACGTGCTCATTTATCAACTCCTCTGAAAGCTTTTTTCCTGGTTCTTCGCGAGGTTTCGTAAGCAACAAAGTCAATATCCGACCCACTGACCCTTCCACCTGTTAAAACAATTTATTCATGTATCTAAACTAACTCCAAATGACAACCTTCACTGATATGTCTTTTTCTAGGGATTTTTTGTAATCTGCTGCGTATGTCTCCCGAATCACTCGCAGTTGCTAAAAGATATATAAGTGTTGTAAAAAAAACTAAACAAATAGACCCTTACCCGAGCTGATCTCGTACAGGCAATCTCGATGGCCACTGAGCGATCTCCGTATCTGTTCTTTAGCAGATAAAAGGTTGATAAACCGTAAACTATTATAAACTACCGAGATGGATTTGTATAAGTTGTGAGAATCATAGTGATGAGCCGGCCGGAGAAGAGCTTGCACCATTTCTAGAAAATAACCCCCGCATTCCTCTTCCAAATCATCTAATAGACTCTGAAAAAAACAACAAAGAGAATGTTTTCAGAAAAGTATCGGATACTTTTCCATATAAATCTTCATAAGCATTCATTATTTTTTGTCTCTGGAAGTTATCATGAAAAAGTATAGTATGGATTATGACTTGATCTTTTGTTTCTAAACATAAGATTTCTATTTGGATTGTCTTCCTCAATACCTAAGCCACTGAAAGATTTCTTCAAAACTTCACATGCTTGAACGGGATGAAACTCGGGGGATGTTGGACCATACACTGTTCCACGTAGATCATCATACTATAGTACAAAACGTGATAAGAGGCCACAAATGATAAAAAAAGAAACCTGGCTTTCATACATCTGATACATCATAGGAACGTTTCTACGTCGAGAATGACTGGATTGAGAATCGACAGATGAAGCTGTGCTATGCTGGAACAGCTAAGAATAATGATAAAGTAGAATAAATATGAATGTTTCGAATTTTCTTAGGAAAGCTAAAGGAGATAAAATGATCTCATTTGTTGATCAATTTTTCCTTTTAGCGTAATCAAGAAGGAAATCCTGTATTCTACACCAACAAATTTCATTGAGAAAGCTAGTATTCAAAAAACGACGTTAACTTTAGCAGTTTCGGAAATTCAACTAGCGGATATCAAAATAAATATTTCACTGCTGGAGGCCTAGGCAATTCAGGAATATTTATTGGCACGAGATCCTCTGTCAAAACTAGAAGTATCATGTTCTTTCGTGATCTCTTCGAAGCGGATTCGGATTTGAGCAGTATTTTAATATAGGATAATCATTTTTTCAAATTGACGTCTCTCATAATTAAGACAAAGCATAGAAAAACTTACAGTCAGCCTCCGACGTTCCTTATTGATTTCTTGCAGCTCTGAATCGTATTCATCCAACATTTTACGATTCCTGGAACTAAGAACAAAATTTGAAAGAGGGATGAAAACGAAAAATATGTCTTCTTCTTGAACAAATTTATAGCTGAGAAGCCTGTCTCGACAAATTCCAATAATGGAAGAGATAATACGAAGAGGGAGAGAAATCAAGAAGGTATGTACGTTTAAGAAAGGGGAGCAAATCGCTTTGTTGTTATTAAGATAAAAGTACTAATCGGAAGTGAAAATCAAGTGATAGGAAATGAAGCTTTCATTAAATGATTTCTTAGGAGCTACTCTCAATGTTGTTTTCATTCGCTCCGCAACGCTATAGAAGGTCAATACACCTGATTGCTAAACAAGCATGTGCATGCATCTATATTGAAGTCTCACTGAGCACATGAGTGAATAGAAACGAATCTTTCCAGTATGTAATAATGGCAATAGGCTTGTTACGTCGACATGGCAGGAGATTTGGATGAAAATGATAAATATTGAGATAATCAACTAAGCTGTTTTCAATCTCAAAAAGATTTTATGGATTTTCCAGAGAAGCTTAGCCAAAATTAAAAAACAGTATTCATACAACGATAATGCAAATTCACAAAGGTTATCAAATATTGAGGGAAAATAATTCACTACGCGGCTTATATCCTAATCCAAAGACTAATATCACCCTCCTATATCCTCGCGTTAACCCAACAACTACACATGCTGGAAATCATTGATTTTCATTTAAATGTCAAACACTACATATTAATAATTATTCTATTTATATAGTTATATATAAAACACTATAAAAGGTTCAGATATCAGTGTGACGAAATGGGCTCACTTCCGTCAAGAGATGTATTTGAAAGTATTCATGTCACCATCACTTCGTTCTATAAATCTATAAAGCCCAGAAATGGCATTATGTTCCTCATTATAACTCACTTATTATCAATTAGCCAATCAATTTGCTCTTTTATCAATTTCCGGTTTGGTAGAAACATTGGTTTCAACATCTCTACCAGCTCAGTTTGAAGTTGTGCCAAAGTTGTTACTTTCCGCATTTTCATTATCTGAATACTTTCATCTCAATGTTTTCTTATTTCACCAATTTTCACTTTAACAACAGCTTCTTGCACACGGAACTCTCTGAGGGCAACGATATCCTCGTGCTCTTTCGTTGCATTTGGTTCTATCGATAGCTGCAAACGGCCTATCAAGTTAATTCTCCCTCTATTCTGAGGTCTTCCATTCTGAAAATCGATGCTACGTTCATATGATTACCAGGCTTCCATACTTTTATCAAATGAAAATCGTGATTAACCCAGAACTGAGTAGAGTCATTGAAATCTCTTGGATTAAGAGGCAGTCGAGAATCACATAATAAGATTTGGGATTTCATCTTAGGATAGGCAACTAATGACTGAAATGAGAGTACCAAAAACTAATTTCTCTATAGAATAAGACAAACATATAGAGTTTTAATCAGCTCAGTGTCGGGCAGCTCTGTGGCCAAGCGTAGTGTCTCCAAGGACAACTTTTCTGATGATTTCTCATCAAATGCAAAAAGAATGGCCATTTGAAACGTAGTCACTTCTAAGTCGAATCGACCACCATTCTTGGTGCCAAAAATTATCTGCAAATAGTGAGTTAAACACGAAAATGTAAAAAGCTGTTACTGTTCCATTGCTCCAATGATGCATCCAGTTTAACTTCCTACCATTATGCTGTTTTTTATAAAACGTTTCCACCTAAGAAAAAAATTAACTTTTCTTTCAGCTCAGGAAAACACCTCGGGTACGAAGTCCTCTAACTCCCGTGGTAAGCTCAACCAAACTTTGTCCAAACCACCACGTCCCCATGCGCCCCCATTCAGTACTTTCAAGTTTATAGAATCGAAAAATATCAAATAAATCAGGGAGTGGATTTTTGAATACCTGCTTTCGTATTATTATTCGTCAGCAGATGTTTCTTGAAAGCATTGTTAATATCCTTATTCAGTTCAATGTCTTGGAGCATTCTTGATAGCTTATTCACATGCTCAGCTGGCATTCCAGCTTCCTACATCCCGACATTTGTGCAAAAGAGAAGAATAACAAACCCTCAATCTATTCACAACTGCTTCCTCTTTTTCTTGGTCAGCACTCATATCCAGGATCAACCTTCTGGACAAGTGAGCTTTATGGAACCGCATGAAAACATCCTTATTTGTCACATACTTCAATACCATTAACTGAATGAAATTAGAACAAAGACATGAAGCAAAAAGAAGCTTACCAAATGATTAAGTTTTTCATCAATCTCCTCGGACGACAACTTTTTACTCAATTGAGTTTTTCTTAACAACAAATCACAGTAATTAGCCAGTAGTTCAGGACACTTTGATTCCACAGCAACATTTCGACTAAACAGGTTCAAATACATCACTTGAGAAGTTGAAGAGAGTAATTCAACCCTTTCTTATTGTTTGTTACTGGTAGTTCCATTTTGAAGATGGTAGTGTCGTTAATGATTTCTCGAAAAGCCTTAAGACATCAAATAAATCACAGCAGAAAACTATCTCAACTTTGTCTCTGGCGGTCAAAAGCCTGGCATCGTCGCAGAAACCGTCTTTAACAAGAGCGCTGAACTTCTCGAACATACAGAGCAGTTGGGTCACGTACTTCTCAGGGTCCTCAACACTTATCTCAACATTTATCGACCTGTATAACTTCTTACAACAGTTATGGTTTCTGCATTGCTTTTCATATCATTCAAGCCTTCATGACGGATATGTTCATCGATACATTTTAATATGATTTCAATGCCAGTTGGAGTTCTCTTGACCAAGCGGTATAACATTTGTAATTCTGATAATCGAGATTTAATGATACAAACAGTTGAACTTTTTATAATTAAACTTACTCTCCACGTCGTTTCTCTCAATGAGTCCTGGACAAACTGCTAATATTTGTTCTTCAAATTCTATAACGAGTATTTGAACACAGCTTTCCACGAGCTGAAAAAGAAACAAAAACATATTGCACTTCCCATTTCTCACACCTTTCCAATACTTTCTGGGTTTGGATCAAGATACTTCCGAGCTCTATTTTCCTCCTCATCTAGCTTTTTATCCGCGTATAACATGTAGTTGATCACGCCGTAATTGAGTAAGTACTGAATATTATCAGGGTTTTACGATATCAAGGATCTAGATAGTCATACTTCTGATGCTCTTTTTTTGTAATAGTTGGATGTACTATCAATATAAGACTTCTCGAAGGTATTTCTGTACACACCGAGCTTATCATCAGAATCACAGGTATCTTCATTAAGAGCCACTGAATATGGTTGAGGACATAAGTTTGGAAAGGTTTTACCGAAGCTTTCTCGTACTCCTATAACCAGAAGAGCGTTGAAGGATTCGCCGTTTCTCTCTTGCTCAATGAGCTTTTCTGCGGCGCTCAATAACTTCTGTGAAATGGACGTGAATATCGTTTGATTCCAACAACTTAGCATAACCTATTAGAAAACTACTAGATTTTATATTGAACTGCGGAACAACTTCTTTAACAGGACGATTTCTAGAGGTAGAAGAACGTTCGGATCGATTTAGGGGATGCATGTCATCGGTGTTTTCAATTACCTGAAACCTATTATGTGCAAAGTCGAACATTTTCTAGTTTACCTTAAAAGGAAGAGGCAATATATTAGTTTGGGTATAAAAACGGTTCCATTCTTCAATATAAATATTCAGAAGATCAAACTCTTCTGTTTTACAACTAATTTTCTGAAAGAATATAAATAAAGAGTGAATATAGTTGACAATACCTGATGAGTATCGGAAACATATTGTGCTATATCGGCGGAAAGCGCTTGCCTAACCTGAGCTGCTCCCTCATGTACCCAAGAATGTATATTATAAACGATACAGAATAAGTCCTGCCATTCTAACTTGTTGACATTCTAATAAGAAATATCGTCTCATTCGAAACGGTTTACTTTGTTTCTCACTTGTTGTTTCAATAACCGAAGAACTGTTGGATGAGCCTTGCTCCATTCTGTTTCGAAAGGAATTTGGTCTTTATACATGGAATTCTTTAACACTTGATAATTTAGAAAGGCTATTCAAAACCAACTCCGAGCATGCTAGTCATTTCCAACTCTCGTCATATAACTCTCTATATCATTTAGTGAACACAAATCTGAAACGAATCTTTAAAAAAGTTAATCAGTCGCCATCCTATGGTAATCATTATAGGACAAGATGATTCTAGGTATTTCGTGATGGAACTTCCTTTTTCTTGAACATTTACGAGATACTATTCTCTTAAAGTTTTCAGAATTTGTTTACGCCAGTTTGGGTTGTTTTGGTATTAATATACGAGGCAATCAGAACGAAGATAAGCAATATTGACGATAAAATTACGATATCAACTCGTGATAGCGAGGAAAGCTGATAAAATTCCAAGAAGAGTTTAAAATTGAGTTCATGTTTTTCACTCTCGAACAATTAACATGCAGACAACAAGGTAGAGTAAACGACAGCACATATACGCAATTGCTCGTCTAGCTGCGAACTCATGTCAAATGTTTTGGTTCCTGATAAGAAAGGAATTTTTTGTATCATCCCCCCGAACAGTTATTATGCTTGAAGACCTCTCCATGTATCAGGAATCATTAATAGCATAAGTTTTTCGGTCAGAACGATAGAAAATTTTAATTATGAAACGAATCATTGCACAATCGTCGCTGCAACAACATGACTTTGTTGTGAACAGGGAAATTGGATTATATTCTGTGAGTACTGGTGTTGCAAATTAAAGAAAGCGTTCATTTTAAGAGAAAAAATGGTCTTGTGCAAAACTTCTACCAGAAAGATCTCTCCAATCATTTTGGATGTGTGAATGCTCTCAATTTTAGCGGTAATCAGGACTTTTTTCTCAGTGGTTGTTTAACGATACTTCTCGTGGATTTTCATGAATATTTTTTGAGGTGGTGATGACCGTTCGGTCTTGATGTGGAAAACATCTGAAGCACTTCTGAAAAAGAGACCTGAAGCCATGAAGATGGACTCGGAACACATATCCAACATCTTTGCTGTCGAATTCAATTGCAAGTAAGAGTTTCGATTCTGAGGCAACTTTTCCTAATATTACAGTGGCAATATCGCTTATTCTGGCGGAAACGATTGCATTTTGTTTGCTCACGATTGCTCAACGGGAAAACTCATCAGATCTTATACTATTACTTGCCCAGTGTTCGATGTGGATGCGCATGTAGTCTCAGATCGTCTTCCGTAAAACTGTTCACGTTTAAGGTTAACAGCTCAGCACTATTAGCAAGCTCGGAAGGGAATGGTTCTGTTGAGTTTTTTGATGTCAGAGACAAATCTTCTGAAAGTATACTACACATTGAGCTGAGTTCCAGACGTGAGAATACTTTTAAGTGCTGTGATATTAGATTTTTTAGATGAAAGAGTTTACACGGGTAGATATAATCCTGCCGTTCCGAACCAATTTCTCATAGCTTCAAGCAGAGATTTACAAGTTCACGATTTGCGCTTTCTTACAAGGTATGTCTTGGTTTTTGTGTGATTATCTAGAAATACTGTTCTATTTGAGAAAAGACGTGTATAAAGGGCTGCTTTCCACCCCTCTTCAGAATAACGTTATGTTTGCAAACTGGAACTCCAAAGGCACCGGTGTCATTGCTCTAGAAGCTGGTCATTATCCTATATATTACGATGTCTATAGTTAAGCTTTATTGCCCTCTTTAATCATAACAATTTTAGTTAATGGAGAAGAATGTAGTTCGTTTATTAGATGATTGCTATTCTAACTATCATACTGTGAAATCTGCCGATTTAATCGATGATCGATATTTTGTTTCTGGAAGTGATACTTTCGATTTGTTTATTTGGGATTTAGAGAAAAAAGAGGAAGGTTAGTTATTGTAATCACAATCAAAAACATTCAGCTTTAGAGCGTGGTTGCCAGAAGGCATCTTCATTCAAAGACTATGTTGTAAAATCTTCAGATCATAAACTCGAAGTTTGTTGCTCTGTTCGAATGATTATACCTTACTTTGCAAACTAGGGTCATCGCTCAATTGTAAATAATGTATGTTATAGCAGCTTTAATGATATTTTGATATCATCCGGCGTCGAAAAAATTGTGAAGGTTAACCTTATTCCGTTGTGCCATGATAATAGTTTTATAGGTATGGTGCCCTTATGCTGTTTTGAATTCCTATAAAGAACCCAACAAAAGAGAAATCGGATCATTGGCTGGGTTCTTGAGGTTTCCTGCATTTCCATATCGCTACTCATCTTTTTCATAATTTAGAGCTGATAGTGATGAAGGTGAAGACATTGAAACATTGTTATATTTTGATAGTTTGTTGATGGATCCTGGAATGGATCTTTTCAATGGTTGGTTCTAACATCAAGTGCGTTCAACTCAACCACACTTTACAGAAGAGCTCAACTTCGACGATGATGAAGACAGCTCAGATTCTAATAACGTTTATGTGAATACACTGCACAGCAGTAATTCTGATAACATCAGTTCAGAAGACGAATCAAGCTCAGGAAGTATCATAGATGATGCGGAGTTTGAATCAAGCTCTACAGAAGAAGAATCTGACGTTAATTGGATATAGTTTGTTGAGGATTTCGTTCATGTATTTTGTTAAAAGCATATAACAGAAGTGTTCGCAAAACGAAAGACAGAAGTACAAAACTTGAATAAAAGTTGAACCGAGTTCGAAAAAACGTAGGGTGTCCGCTCCTAACAGGTTGAAATATTTTAGAAGTCTCGTTGAAGAACAGCTGCTAAGTAAAAAATAGTAGAAGACTATATTTTTCAGCGGACCGAACGTCAAATAATCTCATTAATCCGAAACTATCAATCTCTGATCATATGAAGTCGCAAATTATTTATGTCACGCATGTTTGTGAAAGTGATAATTCATATGGGGATTTCAGCAATATAAAATCTATAGCATCCTGTTTGATTTTGCCAATTCTTTCTGCAGACGGGAGAATCAGAAGAAAAAACACAATAAAACGATAAACGGGGTAATTCATCTAAACATCCACCTGTATAAGTTGTCTCACGTGATCATAGATTGATCGTTCCGTTTTTCAGCTAGAAATCGTTATTAGTGGATGGTATACATCAAGAGTTTCTTGACCTGAGCAACTGTTCTTTCTTTTTATTCAAGTTGTATATTTCACTTTTGTGCTGGAGTTGTATAGTTTCAGTACAATATCTCATGAAGTACTATTCTTTTTTTCCAAACCATATGTCGTGTATTTGTTTTTTCCTTTCCTTTAACAGAACAAAGTACATCTAGTTAATCTGAACCAAACTATATTGACTGGTTGCTCAGGCGTTCTCTCTTTTCAAACACATCTTCACAGTTTCTCCCACCATACTACTATCAGTATATAGTTGTTCTCTGAGTTGTTACTACCGTACTTTTCTCCCGTTACTTTTTGTTCTGTTATCTCTCAAGTTTTTGGGAAATAAAATCAACACTAAATGGTTTGATTGTCAAAACACTTCCAATAGTCAACCCACATGATAACCTTAACAGTTCTTCAATTTTCACAAACATTTCGTTTACTGTTCTTCGTCTAATCTTATGATATGATCTATATAATTTCGTTTGAGGAATGAGTGCAGGTTTGCTCCGACTGAAGTTGCCGAAGTTACTCAGTAGTCATCGCTTTGCAAGCAATGCTGTCGGTCGTCGAGACTTCAAAAAGGTAACTTTCTTTTTCAGTTTAAAGTTAACTTTGAAGTTCAGGTCATGGTGGCCAATAGAGGCGAAATTGCCATAAGAGTGTTCCGTGCTTTAACAGAGCTAAATATGACTTCGGTAGCTATTTACAGTGAGCAAGTATGTCTAAGAGTTCGGCAATAGCTGCAAGATTTATCTTAGGATAAACATTCAATGCATAGACTAAAAGCGGATGAAGCGTTCCTCGTTGGAAAAGGTTTACCTCCTGTAGCAGCTTATTTATCCATTGATCAAATAATTGAAACAGCTCTAAAAGTTTGTTTTGCATGTTTTTTCTCAATTGTCATATGTTCAGCATAACATTGATGCAGTTCATCCGGGGTACGGTTTCCTTTCCGAAAGATCAGACTTCGCCCAAGCATGTACCAATGCGGGCATAGTTTTTATCGGTCCGAGCTCAGACGTTATGGCTCGAATGGGTGATAAAGTTATTCGAAACCTTGAGTTCCAATTATTTTACAAATTCTACAGGTTGCGGCCAGGCAAGCAGCTATTGAAGCAGGAGTTCAAATAGTACCTGGAACACCTGGGCCCATATCGAATGCAGAGTTAGCAGTGTCGTTATTCTTTTAATTTAATTAACAATGAATTAAGAGAGGCCATTGAATTTGCCAAACAGTATGGAACACCTATCATCCTCAAAGCCGCGTATGGTGGGGGCGGAAGAGGCATGCGCAAAGTTAATAATATTAATGAGGTACCTGAAAGCATTTGCTCTGAGAAATCTTTCTCTTTAGGTGGAGGAAGCTTTCACGCGAGCCTATTCTGAAGCACAAGCTGCTTTTGGGGATGGAAGCCTGTTTGTAGAAAAATTTGTCGAACGTCCTAGGCATATTGAAGTTCAATTACTTGGTTGGTCTTGATGAAGGAACGTGTAAGAAGTCCTATTTTCTTCAAGGCGACAACTACGGGAACCTGATACATCTGTATGAAAGAGACTGTTCTGTACAAAGGAGACATCAGAAAGTTGTAGAAATCGCACCTGCTCCTGCACTTCCAAGCGGAGTGAGAGAAAAAATTCTGAATGATGCGATTCGACTAGCAAAACATGTAGGCTACCAGAACGCAGGTAATCTACGGTATCAATTAATGAACACAATGTTTTTCAGGAACTGTTGAATTTTTGGTAGATCAAAAAGGAAATTATTATTTCATTGAAGTCAACGCTAGATTGCAAGTAGAGCACACCGTGACCGAAGAAGTAACGGGGTGAGCTCTCATAGATAGTTCTATTTATATATTTCAAAAAATTAAACATTAGAGTTGATTTGGTGCAAGCTCAAATCAGAGTGGCAGAAGGAAAAACATTAGATGATTTGAAATTACATCAAGATTCCATTGTTCCTCATGGATCCGCCATACAATGTCGAGTTACAACTGAAGATCCTGCTAGAGGTTTCCAACCAGACTCTGGCCGAATTGAGGTTTACTTAGACTGACACCGTTTACAATTTCGCTCAGGTATTCCGGTCCGGGGAAGGTATGGGAATTCGATTGGATTCAGCTTCGTCATATGCGGGATCAGTTATTTCGCCGCATTATGATTCTCTATTGGTCAAAGTAGTTGTTCTTGTTTTAAAGCTCTTTTATTTTATGTTAAGGTCATAGCTTCAGCTCGTAATCATCCAAATGCTGCTGCTAAAATGATAAGAGCGTTGAAAGAATTCAGGATTCGAGGAGTAAAGGTATTTTATGAGTAAAAAAGGAACTTGATATATTTTCTTTGAGACCAATATCCCATTCCTGTTGAACGTTTTGAACCAGCCATCATTCATTGATGCGTCTGTCGATACATACTTCATTGATGAGCACCCAGAGTTATTCCAGTTTAAACCTAGTCAAAATAGAGCTCAGAAGTTATTGAATTATCTTGGTGAAGTTCAGGTATTTCGCGAAATTCATTTTTTGTAGTGTAATAGTGTAGGTTAACGGACCCACTACTCCTCTGGCAACAGACTTGAAGCCCGCTGTAATAAACGTGCCCGTGCCAACTTTAAATGCGGGTCTCCGAAGACCTCCTGGTTTGCGAGACGTTCTCCTACAAAAAGGTCCAGAAGGTTTCGCTCGTTATGTCAGAAACAACAAAGGTTGTCTTATCACTGACACAACATTCAGGTAAAAGATACTTGTAAAATCAACTGTGATGAACTTCCAGAGATGCACATCAATCTCTGTTAGCTACTCGAGTTCGAACTTACGACCTAGAGAAGATTTCACCGTTTGTGAGTCATTCGTTTTCAAACTTGTTTTCTTTAGAAAACTGGGGAGGTTCGATTTTTATTGTTTGAGTTACACTTTCTCATCTAATCGTAGGAGCTACATTCGATGTTTCTATGCGTTTTCTACATGAATGTCCATGGGAAAGATTGCGTTCGTTGAGATCATTGATCCCTAATATTCCTTTCCAATGTTTGCTCCGTGGTGCGAACGCTGTTGGATACAGTAACTATCCGGACAACGTAACTTACAAGTACGTTTTTTGTTTATGCTTCATTCAATTCACAATGACAAGGTTCTGCGAGTTATCAAAAAAAAATGGAATGGATATTTTTCGAGTTTTTGATTCTCTAAACTATTTACCCAATCTCCTAGTAGGCATGGAAGCTGCAGGATCAGCCGGAGGAGTTGTGAGTTTAAGAATCAAACGAAAATATGTTTCCGCAAAAGGTTGAAGCTGCAATTGCGTACACAGGAGATGTTTCTGATTCTTCAAGATCTCAGTATGATTTACAATATTACCTTGATTTGGCCGAGCAGTTGGTTAAAGCTCAAGCCCACATTCTCTGTATCAAGGTTCACTGATTACAAGCTTATCTTTGTACTGATTTTTCAAGGATATGGCTGGTGTTCTGAAACCACAAGCAGCGAAAATATTAATTAGTGCTCTCCGAGACAAGTTTCCCGATATTCCAATCCATGTCCATTCTCATGACACAGCTGGAGCTGGAGTAGCAGCAATGCTAGAATGTGCAAAGGTACATCAAAAGCAGATTTATTCACTCGAGTTTCAAGGCCGGAGCCGATGTGGTTGATGCCGCCGTGGACAGCATGAGCGGAATGACCAGTCAGCCAAGTATGGGAGCAATCGTTGCATCTTTGCAGAGAACAGAGCATGACACTGGTTTGAAACCCTGACGTCTGCGTATTTTACACTTATTTTAAGGTTTATCGTTGGAAAACATATCGAAATACTCGGCATATTGGGAATCAGCTAGACAACTTTATGCTCCTTTCGAATGTGCTGTTACGATGAAGAGTGGTAATGCCGATGTGTATAAACATGAAATTCCTGGAGGACAGTATACTAACTTACAGTTCCAGGTTTCTTAGACAGTCCGTGTTTCATATTAAAGTTGTTTTAGGCCTTTTCATTGGGTTTAGGTAACCAATTCGATGAAGTCAAAAGAATGTATAGAGAAGCTAATCTTGTTCTTGGTGATATAATTAAAGTTACTCCATCTTCGAAAATTGTGGGAGATCTTGCTCAGTTCATGGTTCAAAATAATCTCACCAGAGAAACACTGGTAGACCGCGCTGACGATTTATCTTTTCCTAAAAGTGTTGTAGATTTCATGCAGGTATAATAGGCCAAGATTTCGCTTCTATTGCTGAAGTTTAGGGAAATGTAGGCCAGCCACCTTATGGTTTTCCTGAGCCACTGAGAACAAAAATTCTTCGTGGCAAGAAAAAATTGGAAGGTCGTGTAGGAGAATCATTAGCACCTCTGAATTTGGAGAAGCTAAAGAAAGAATTAGAAGATAAACATGGACGGAACTTAACGTAAGATATTTCAACTATAATCAAACTGAAATTTTCAAGAGAAGAAGATTGCATGTCTCACGCAATGTTCCCGGAAGTATTCGACAAGTTCGAACAGTTTCGGCAGCGATTTGGTCCCGTCAGCAAACTTCCAACCAGAATCTTTTTTACAGGCTTGGATATAGCAGAAGAAGTTGATGTATTTTTAAATTTTTTCTTATCAAAGCTCATATCAAGTTTTAAGGTTGAACTCGAAGAAGGTAAGACATTGGCAATACAACTACTGGCCGAAGGCAAACTGAACAACGTGGGTGAACGAGAAGTGTTTTTCGACTTGAATGGACAAATGAGAAGTATTTTTGTTCAAGATACAGACGCTAGCAAAGTATGTTTAGTTATGACTTCTGTCCTATTCTTTTTTTTAGGAAATAGTATCTCGTCCAAGGGCGTTGCCAGGAGTGAGAGGATCTGTTGGTGCTCCGATGCCAGGTGAGATACTGGAAATGAAAGTGAAGGAAGGTGATAAGGTAAAATTAATTTGAGGGAAAGCCCAATGATCAGAGTCAAATGTTATAGGTGACCCCAAAGCAGCCTCTGTTTGTACTTTCAGCAATGAAAATGGAAATGGTTATTGATGCTCCAATCGCTGGGGTAATCAAAAAAATATATACAACCAAAGGTACTAAATGCTCGGCCGGTGATTTAATTATTGATATTGAACCGTAAACTGTTTACTCAAAATTAGCCAATTTTATTTTTTTTAATTCTTTTTTTTTGGAAAGATCTGAACAAAGTAATAAAAAAGTTTCAATTATGTGACTATAAATATATACAAGCACCGCAAAAAGATTTTGTTCATAGCTTCTTATTGATATTCTAAGTCGAATAAGTTGGCTCAGGCTTAGGCTTAGGCTTAGTCATTGCTAGAGAAATTGGGTGTTCATTTTTTAAAAAGCTGAAAAGGTTTTCGATTACCTTTATTCCATCATGAAAACATTCCGTTTTCAGTTTTTTGACGAAAGTGAAATGAGATCGCTAAAAAACGCCATTTTCGGGGTCCCCGCGAGGAGCTCTCCCCCCCACAGCTTGTTTCCCGTGCATCCCCAGGATTGGTTGATGTGCTCCAACACGAAATGATGACAATTGCTATGAGATTGAGGTTTGTAGTTTGCCTTGTTTGTTTCAGTTTCCCTTATTTGTCATCAAAAGTGCCAAAATGATGTTCGAGCTCTGTAGTTTACTTGGAATGAGCGGGAAAGTCAGTCGAAAGTCAGTCAGTGAGCAGCGTGCTCTTGTGAGTGAAGGTTGTTTAGTGTTGTTAGTTTATAGTTAAGATGTTAAGTGGTTGGTTGGTAATTTCCTGATA